CGGATCATTTTTTGACCAAATACTCTTGGAACATGCATTTAAGACAAAGTTAAATATAAGAACTGATTATAAACTTAGTGCGCACTCAGTGCGCGCTAGTGCAAGCAACCGAATTCGCTATAAGTTTGCTGCACAAAGCGCATATATTGTCTCCACTACCACCAATGTGAGTATGAATGTAAATACTCGCCGCAAGTATCGGTAGATATTTAAATTGGCTACTCGGTGCGCACTCGATTTTTTTGCAAAATGAAATCTACGCGAGCACACGTTTTCCATTAGAGGCGCGCAACGTACTCGCGCAAATGAATCAAACGCAATGTGAACCGTGCTTTGTCACGCAAAAATTGTCTCAGGCGCGGGTACGCTTCGACGGTTATACCATACCGCGCATTTCGTACGACGTTTTTGTTTAGAAGCGGGATATACGTGGTACTTACCGTATCGATTCTCCCTCGGCTGTCGCGTATCGATACAAAATGCACCGCCGAGAATACGATATACACGTCATTGCTCTGATACTTACTCACTATGTGACCCATATAACGGAGAGATATGCTTGAGCGTACGTAACAGTGGTAACACTTCTAAATTTGACAATGCAACAAGCATACACTATCTCGAACGAAAAGCGGGACTAAAGACGGGAAATAAAAAGAAAACGATATATCGACAGATACATCGAATTTGTATAAAACGTGGAACAGAATGGGACATTACCGGGACATTATCACGAACCACCGGATGTCTTTTTTTTCATCGCACTGATTTCGTTTGCGGCTCGATTGGAAATGGAATTTCTCGCGGTGTAAAAATATCGAGCTTCGGCGGTTAAAAGAGCATTCGGCACGTGATTGCCGGGACGTCCCGTGCAGAATTTCGTCACGTCTACATCCAACATACATGCGATCACGTTCGTAAACAGCGAATCGTCTTTGCTGAGGTAACCGAGAAGCTGGGAAATTGCAACTTGCTCGCGCGTGTGCCTAGAGCCCAGCCGCGTCGCGGTCGAGACATACCGCGCGGAAAGGCGCATCGCGCTTAATGGAATTAAAGCTTTAACAGTAAACCACTTTGCATCGCTCGGTCGATCGCTCCCGCCTTGCCCGCCGGCTCTTGCCCAAGTTTACTTTTTCCGGTCTTTGCACCGCGCACGTCGGCGTAAAAATGGATCGATCGGCGCGTCTGGAATATTCATCACACACGTACGCCTTTAGAAAAGTAAGTAAGGCAAACGCCATTCAGGCGTAATAGCGCGGCGTTACGTGTTAGACTGTAGAAGTACACGCTCGCGCGGATGTCACGCCGAGTGCAACGAACGATAGTCCGTACTTTCCTTTCCCTTCCGTGACGGCGGTCGCCGCTATCAATCTCCGTGCTCGCGAGCGTTATATCGGGACGGTATTTCTCCCGCCGCGAAATTCATATACGCGCGGTTCCTCTGAAAATCCACGTTGCCTCGTATTTCTCGCGAGGCTCCTCGTCGCCGTGCAATTCCGTCCGAATAAAATAGGAACACTCGCGGAAATAGAAATATCACTCGCGGATTGCTGTTCACGCAGACAACTATATCTGGAAAACTGCGTTATAGAACTGCAATCTGGAAAAATATATTACAGCGCCGGCATCTAAACGTATCAACCTCCTTGGGAATTTCGTTCGACAGCCTGGCTCGATCTTTAGCGAACTCTCGTTTGAAAACATCGGATTCTCTTAAGCGGGATCTTTCGCGGTGAGAGCGATCGATCGACCGATCGATTAATGAGTGGAGACAGTTGAGGCTCCCCAGCTTAACGGACGACAGTTTGTAGGATAAAAGTACCTGTAGAACCATGGTGCTGACCACGGTACCAGCGACGGGCACGAGGTTCAATTCTAGCCACTCCTCGCCCGCTCTTAGGCAACCTCGCTCGAATATACTCCTCTCTCCCGTCTGCATTGGCCCGAGAGAGTAAATAGAAATGGTTTAAAAAGTCGGTAACACATAAGGGTGCTTGCTCGAGCGCGGAGACTCCAAGTTACGCCGTCAGTTGTGGCTGCGGTCCACCGATAACGCGAGAGCAAACATCGATACGACACTTCTCTCTCTCTCCCCTAGCGGCAACGAGGGCGTGCTCTTCGGGCATGAATGAGGAAACGACCCGCATTTTCCTCTTAATCGCGACTCACGACGTATAGATATATATTTTTATGCTGCTGCGCGAATACCCACAAAGCACGCCCCCGGGGGAGAGAAAAACTTAAGAGGGTTTATCGACTGACGCGCGGGCATAACTTAGCGGTTTAAACCACAGGGGGAAAGTAAGAGAAATGTAATAAGGTGTTCGTGATGCTCGCCGTTGCGTGAAGCGATCCGGTGTGGGGATGTGTGGGGGGGAGGGGGTGTAACGAGTGGGAGACGGTAGACACGTAACGTCGGTTCTCCTCCACGTGTAGCAGATTTTTGTGGGAACCACCCGCGGTGGCTCGTACTTCTATTTTTATTCGCAAAGTAAGATTGAATCAGACACGACCGTCGTCCCGAATATAATTTTCATTAATTTACACATCGATTGACGATGCGTGAATAATATCGGCGACGTTTAATACATACCGGCTCGGAGAAAAAGCTCTTTATCGTTATTTATTTACTCGCGTTTTATCGGCCCGTAACGCATCGCGGCGCATTAACGGTCTCTCCCGACAAAAAAATATAATTAAGCGAGGAGGGCTTCTCTCGATGAAAGCGTAATTAGCGGAGGGGCGGGTTTCGAGCCATTACATCGGGAATGATATACCTGCTCTTAAAATAAAGCCTGCACAGAAGTTCTTATCCCTCCCTCGCCCCCTCGCCCCCTCGCCCCCTCCCCTCTCTCTTTCTCTCCACACCCCTTCTCACCCCTTCGTCCTCTGGACTCGACTATTTTCTCTCTAATTAAGTTCCACAGTTTCTTGACCCGGATCGTTTTTGCCCGCGCTTGTAGACATTGTGTAATCGTGCGCGCGCGACCCGCGCAAAACTACCCCGGCGAACTACCCGCTATCTCGAATCTGGCCTCGCGCGATAGAGCGCGATTCCAAAGACAAATTATTCGGCCCCTCCGAGGCACGTTCCACTTGGTTTACCGTACTTTCGTAACGGCGGCGCAAAATGGCGCAAGTTTCGAATCGGAAACAAGGCGAAACTAGAATACTACGGTCGGAATGCTGCGGTGTGTCACTCGTAGGATACGCAAGTTACGATAGTTAACGACATAGGTGAAGGATTTTATAAGGTGCGATTGCGATACGAGGTCTTGGACGGGGGTGAACTTAAAGGCCGACACAGAATACTGAGAAACGCAAGAAGGGACGAAAGTATATCTGACCGAAAATAATAAGTTTGCGCGGGAAGAGTTTGCGCATCTTAATTTATCGTCATTAACTTTTCAAATCCGATTCTCGAAACGTCATTTGTCATACGACAGAGGCAAAAGTTTCAGTTAAAAAATTACTATTAGCGATAAGAATGAAGTTGTTATACTTACGTAACTGGGCTTTCTTACGTCATAACCGCATTGTTTATTTTTAATGATTTCCTGAAACAAATGAGAGAAAGATGTGACTTTCAACGGTAGAATAAGCGTCCGATGGAAAATTGATTCTATGAAGTGGTAGCAATCGCGAATACTATAATCAGTATGGAGAGAATTACATTAGGTTTTCGCTTGCAACAGCTAAAAGGCACGCCGCACGCTTCCCTCGAGCCTATGTCGCTCGACGAACAATTGAAATAATTGTTGCGGTCCCAATCCTTCGGGCCCTCGATGCCGCAACACTGCAACTGAAAAATAAGACAACAAATTTTATAATATTACGACGGCAAGTAACGGTAAACGATAACGCGCTTATATACTTTAGGAGAGGAAGAGAGGGAGAGAGAGAGAGAGAGAGAGAACCGCTAAAGTTTTAATTGCCAATATGGAGAGATTTCTACACGGATTCTTTGGCCTACACATCTACGGAATTTCGTCGTTTCTAGTAGTTGAACGGGGAAACTCGCCGCAATTCGTTCGCACGGACGAGAATATTATCCATGAGAGGCCGAAGTCAGCGCCGATATGATCAATCGCGATGTTAAATTCGCGATGAATATCACAGGCGAGTATGAATTTCAAACGTCGTCATAAATAATTCCGATGACGCTGGAAATTCAGACGAGGCAATATTAAATAGGCGATTTAAAGGCTCGTTCGATAAGAAAGGTGGGGGGGGGGGGAGTCGTCGCGTCCGGCTCGGAAATTCCGGGATAATAAGAGAGAGAGAGAGAGAGAGAGAGAAAAAGAATTGTCGCTGCAAGGAGCCGGGTATTAAGGGAAGGAGAAAACGGCTGTGGGATGATGCGAGTTGGGTTCGGCTCGCAACGAGGCTTGGCCGGCGATCCAAGCCCCGAGACCTTTATTAAACCCCAATGTCTCTTTCCTATACGAGCCGGGCGTTTTATTCCTCTTCCTCGGCCACCCGTATGTGTCCTCATTGGTCAGTTGTCATTTTTTTCACGCCTAATCCCGCCGGCCGCCAAACGTAAGGATGGCCACGAGGGGGAAACCGCTGAGGGCATGGCGTACAGATTTGCGGCATTACTGGGCATTACTGGGTATTTTTTGGGCGTTATTTCGGACATTATAAAGATAAAATAACATAAACTAAGATAAAACGAGATAAATAAGATAAAATAAGATAATAAGATAGAGTTAATGCCCACTGGGCATCAGTGGGCATTGGTGTACAAGATTTTGGTCAGCGGTTTCCCCTTCGGATGGCCAGCAACGAAACGTCTCCCTTTGCAAAGGACACCTGATAATTAAAATTTCTCCTGAATGCGACATTAATCCCGCGCCGGAGCCGCGCCGTTGGGAGTAGTAGCGTTATTCGCCTGAGTTGCCTACAACGAGTAATTAATTCATCGATCTTACAAATATTAATTTATTTGGGAAAGTCTCTTGCCAATAAGTACAACATACGCTGCACCGTGCCAGTTAATATTGCGCTGCATGCATTTGATTAATCAGCCGACGCGGCGTGCGCCGCACACGTATATCTCGCGATTCTATCGTATAATTAATTAACCATGGGAATATTCGTATTTCTCGGTACGACAGTCGCCGCGAACAGGGGAGGGGGGGGAGGATATTTCACGTTTAATTAAAAGGCATAAAAATGAATTACCCGGCGCGAAGTGTATTAGATTCTCGCCGGGGGTTAAAAATAGAGAATCGATACGGGGAATATCACGAATTCAATTATTAATAACGGGGTTACATGTGAGAGCGCCTCGTTTGTCGTTTCGCACGTGCTTCGTACGAATTGGATTAATCAGGCGATTCGTTATCGCGGCGTAAGAAAGTGGCTGTCGCGCCGAGCCAATATATCGAGAGCAAGGCGGAAAGGGAAAGGACGAGCAGTTGTGAGCGCCGAAAGATAATATCAGGCCGATCCCAACTACGTAATTTAGCTGATTTGTTTTCAGCGTGCCCGTTTTATTTTATTTCAATTATTCGTGCGGTAACGTTTCAATTCGTTCCAATCAAATATTCATAATACGAAACGTGCACGCGCGGAATATTCATACGAGATGCGAATGCGAGTCGAGTATTGAGATACGAGATACGAGTTTCCGATTGTAGCTGGATTTAATTATTATTCGCTCGTCTGTACAGGCCGCATCAAGAGAGATCGGCAACAGGCGCCGCGCGAGATTCGCTCGTCGCTTCCTCCGCGGGCGAGTATTTCGCCGAAACCGATACAAAGCCGTAAACGAAACACGCAGGTAACAATTGCAACTCGTGCGAACGTAACGGAATTTTTCGCTATTTCCCGGTTCGTTATCGTCATTGAACGACCTCCGCGCGACAGCACGAGAGTTAATCCGGACGCCTTTTTGGCAGTGGGCGTTCAACGCCGAGGGAACGTGCACGCGCAAAGCGCGGTATTACGGGATGAAATATTCGCCAAGGAAGAATCGACTCGAGATTCCTCCGGGGATAGAATTTCGCCCCGTTTGCCGGCGTACACGTCTCTCTTGATGCATCCTGTATATCGATCGCGGCGGGCCGAACCGGCCCGAGTTGAGCCAATTGATAAGTGGGATGGCGACGGTAAATACGCTCCGCGCCACCGCACCAAGTCGAAGTACTAAGCATTTCATTAACCGCCTATAAATGGTACCGAGTGAATCCCGACGGGGTCAGACAATGCGGTATATGGCAACTCGGCTGGTACCTCGGTTTCCCCGGGGCTGATAGGATTGCCGGAATTGCGCGCCGGCATACCGGGCGTCCCTATTGAAATCTCGTAAACCACAATTGGTCGGCCGACCATCGATTAACGAGTACGACGATACCGCGCTCTCGCCCGAAATCGACTGTCATATCTTCGGATCAAACGCAATCGCTTTAATCCCCTGAAACGCCGTTGAAATCGGGGTGCACTGTGGTATTCTTTATCCGCGCGCGACGATCGTCTTTCGCATCGCGGCGTCCAGTTCTGTCTCTCGACTCGCGTAAAGATAAACGCGGTTGGTCTCGCGCGCGTGGTTTTCGCTACGCTGATTAGCTAAACATTGGCCCAATGCAACCAAATATTGGGCCTATGTTTAATCAATGTTTGGTCCATACACTGTGCTACTAGGGTTGCCACTCAAAAAGTATCGATACAGCTCTTGTGCAAAATGTATTCAGTTGACGCAATTTCTGGTAATTCTGTTAAACTGAACACAATTACGTTCGTTTTTATCAGTCTCTTGTTATTCAGTTTGTTAAAATGCGAACCGTTGTATTAACTATCGCAACACGACGATAGTCCGTTGGACGCGATGGTTCGTTGATGATGGAATTGCGGCGGTAATTCAACGCTTGCGGATTCATCAGCGGTGCCGGAGCCTACCCGCGCATTCAAACGTTAACCGAATCAGTTGGCAAATGTTTCCGTATGTGCCCGCGTCGCAGCAATAATTTATGTGTGTACGTACATATTGATCGATGGATCCGCGACAATATCTGCGTCGCATCTGCTCAACCGTGAACAGGGCAAACCGCTCTCGCGGATTATATCTCGGCACCGACTTCATCCGTCCTCCGTGGCAGACGTCCGCTTTTTACTCAAACGAAATCCCGCTGTATAACCGCGCGGCGGATTCGTCGGTTAAATTAATTCTCGCGGTACCGCTGGATACTTGGCCGAACGTAAATCACTGTCGCGCCCCCGCGCTCGTAAAGTATGGCGGATCGAATGAAATTTTCGGTAGATCCAGTTCGGCGGTAACGTGCGGTGCAACGTGCGAGCGCGTGTGCGGTTTACCGCCGACTAGCTCCTACTGATAGGATTACCGAAATTGCGGCAGTGTACCCGGGCGGTTCTATTGAAATCTCATAAACCACAATTGGATGACCGGATATCGATTGTCGAATGCTACTATATTACGCGCCATTTGGACGCCGCCGTCGCCGCCGTCGCCGCCGCCGTCGCCGCGTGGCATTCGGAATCTGAATCCGGCCAGATTTTCGTGCTGCGGCGATTCGATAAAGCTTGCACGAAGCTTGCGTTTCGGAAACCGTCTGACCGCACGATTTCCTGCACTACTTAGAAATGCGAGCACGCGCGCTTATTAAGGCCCCCGGCTATACGTTCGGCTTCGATGATACGATACTTCGGCGAGGTAACGAGCGCGAGGGGAGCGTATCCGTCGAATTATCCTAGTTTTATTGATATAACGAATGACTCTGATATAATCAACTTGCCCAATCTTCTTGAATCCAATCGATGAGGTTCTGCTGATCGGGATCCTCTCTGTAGTGGATGATGAACGCTTGGAAGCCCCCCGTAGCTTGTGATTTTATCTGCACAGTGAACAAAATGCCATATTAATTAGTGCCAACCAATCTTTCAATAATTAATAAATGCTCGAGGGTCCGCCCTAAAGTCTTTTAATCAATGTATCTCAATTTCGCCGTCCGAGATAAGAGAAAAGAAAAATGTCGGATATAAGGCACCAAGAGAGCTTCGTAATCTCTACGAAGTCTTATTACAACCGGTATTTCTAGTCCGGGATATTTCCTCCCGACAATTGACGACCGTCACAGGTGCTGCAGGTACAATTGCTCAAGGACGAGTTTAACTTTCCGCCGGTCGTAAAGTAGAATGGCGGGCATTAAAACGCGAGCTGCGTGCGAACACGGGGGGGATACGATGGCACGTTTGTTGGTTGTCCGAAATTTTCCACGCCGGGAGAAAATTCTCGTCATGTTTAAAGGATACGGTTAATGGAATTAATTAGTAACCCAGGAACTCTCTTGCTGCATAATTATACGCAAACTTCGTCGGCGCCCAGCCTAGACTATATTCTACGTGTACGTCTTCCTCGCGCGCGGGGTGTACGTACATATATCCAGAGCGAATGAGATTGTGAAATATGCACCGACGAGAGAGAAAGAGATAGAGAGAGGGGGGGGGGGAGATAGAGAGAGAAATGCTGTACAATGCATTCGGCATATTCGCTTTGATAATTCAGCCACGCTTCTCGTAGCTACTGAATTAATAAACACGGTAAGCAGAAACGATTACGAATGAACGCAGCGAAACTATCTCGAGGAACACTTGTCTTGGAAATGTTGCGTATAATTCTGCAGGATAAATTTTAGTAAAGCTGTATACTCGGCGAAATATCATCTGCGCGAATAATCAAATGCGCACAAGGCATGCACAATACGCAAAACGATATTATATTATGCAGCTGTAAAATTATCTAAATCTCATTTTAATGTTTACTGGGTTTACTGGATTACATGCAACATTACAAATATTTTTGAATACGATATGTTTATTTCGAAATTTTCGCTGTAATTATTATTATATACCACACATATATATAATAGTAATTTTTTTATAAATTATATGAGGCTACGTAATATTTACCCAATCTTTGAAGATGAACCCCAGAACACCGGCAGTCATTTCCATCAGCAAGAGAAGCGCCAAAAATATCGCGTACTGCAACACGTAAGATTAATTCTATCAAGACCCCGCGAGAAATTAATTAGTAATTGCCCTACTTACTACCGGTTGTGATCATCTTTTCAACGATTCATTTCCTTTCGGGGAACTCAAAATTTCAAGAGCTGGCCATCAAAGAAAGCGGAGCCTTTCGTATTTAAGTACTTTTAAACGTTCCATCGCTCAAAGGGCGAACTTTCGTTCAATCGCGCGCGGCGGCCAGCCAATGATAGACCATGGATATCACGTAACGAACCGGAAGCTCGATCAAAGTTCCAAGTTCCGAAAGATGTTGGGCAATTAAAGTAATCCAGAAAGATCTTAATTGAATCCCGTAGGACGCTCACCGCGGCGAGGAGGCATGTGTTCTCCCGTAGCGCGCCGACGCATCCCGTGAAACCGATGATAAATGTCACCGTACCTGCAACAGAATAAATAGTATCGGGTACTTCGTCATCGCGCGAAATGTAACGCCAAGTACACGAATGCATTCGTCAATGTATCGTATAATCGTGAGTTATGAGCGTGGTACGCGCGTCCCACCGGTGAATTCATTCCCGCATCGACATCCCGGCGTGAATTCCCAGATACATTTATAGGTTCGCAACGAGGTGTATGAAAAAACCATGAAAACCGGAAACTTAATCACGGCGAATACTGCGTTCGAAGGATTGAAACGGTCCGGTAATATCGGAGGAGATTGGGAAGAGAGTTGTTTATTTGGTAGCGTTAATTGAGTTCCAAATCGATAGACTGTAAATCGAAATTTAGAGGTACATTCGCAGGAAAAGTAGGAAAATTTTTAACAGTGTCGCGTAAATATATTATTTTGTTTATTCGATCTCGTCTGGTTTTCACTCTTCCTTTTAATTTTTGGGTCTGAAAGTCGGCAAGATTTTATTAGTCAGCAAAACCGGGAAATTCGGAGAGTTCTGGAATTTCACGTGCGTAACAACTCTGATTTACGAACATACGCCGCGTATTAGTTACACGTAGGTTTCGCGAATGCTTGCAGTTACACAAGTAATTATATTAAAATTCCTCTGCGTTCCAGTTGAATTTCGTGAGAGTGCGTCATCAACAGTACCGCGTTGCACCGATGGTAATGCGGAATATTTATGAAATTATCTGCTACCCGCGGACGAGCGTGCCGCGTAGCCGCGTAATGAGCGCTAAATCAATTCCGTGTGTACAAAAAGTTGGCTAGCACACACACACACACACGCTCGAAATTCGCTGCTATCGCGATTAATCGGTGTGCATTCAAGCAACTTTTTCACCTCTTATATTTAATATGCAAATATCATTAATTTTTATGTACTATAAAGCGATAAGTTTGCATTAAAACTGTTGAGAGAGCTTTGTGCGTAAATTCGCAACAGAAATATTTGCGACATTAGAAAATTTAATTTAATTTATTTATAGTGTAGAGAATATTTTTTCCATCGACTCTTGGCAAAGACTTAGCAATGATTCTTAGTGTCTCTTCCAGGTATTATCTCTATGTATATATTTTCATAAATTAAACGTACGATACAAAGTAGATTTTATTACGCGTGTAGCATCGATGGCTCGGTGCTTTAAAGAATTTGCAGCTGCATCGAGAAAACGATTATAAGTCAAACTTGGCGCCATCGGACTTAATAAATTTTATCTATCATCGAAAGTTATAAGATTTTAGAACGTGTTCCGGAAATGAGGGGGTAACTTTTAATCCGATGGTAAAGCAGGGACGGGCAACGTAGAACGAAGCTCTTTCAAGTAACTGAATAATTAGTCCAGACTTACTTTCGGAACTTTTGTTAAGCCTTGCCACGAACTAGAAGAAAATGGCAACGATGAAACGCTTTGCGCTCGGACGAAAAACTCGACGAAGAAAAACGAAAAGCGCGAATGTAGAAACGTGTATCTACTTGAAAGTGCAGTTGAAAAATTTTTATACAAGATGAGGCTATTACGAGGCATTTTTGCGCGTTAAATACGTTAAGCGCGTGAAAGTACGAAATGTATTTTAAATTACACGAATTTCTTTATTATTAGCCATTATTGCAGTTGTTGCTATTTAAAAAAAAACATATTCATGTTTACTTATAAAGACGTTTCACTCGTGCTGCATCTCAGCTCGCATTTGGGCTGAACATTTGGCATGCAATCAACGTTTCGTAAAGGAGGCAATAGCAGGTGTGGGTCAATGGTAGGACGAGAGAGAGCTTTGCCGCCCCTGCAATATCGCAACGTTGCTTTATGTCGTATGGTAATAAAATTGCATGACAGAGGAACGCATACGTTTGATCTCGCCTCGTGACACGCGAATATAACGGCGAGTGTGAACGAATAATATCTGTTTCGATTTTAGGTTTTTGTCGACTAAAAAGAGAAAACGTACACAGAGTAACTCGGGTCTTTCGTGCTTCCCTTCGCATTCTGCGAGCAGTGTGGAGTCGACCCTTTTGTAGGGTGATTTTAATCAGATCCGGTTTCTTGCAATTAATTTAGGTTTAACTTGTGGCACGCAAAATTACGGACGTTTTATCGAGAGCGTTTGAATTGGCGATTTAATCGGGGACAGACGTATACACGGATAGAAATCAAAACGCAGCACTCAATTGCGATCGCATTTATTTAAGCGCGGAAAATAAACGTAATCCAGGATTTAGTGTTTCCCTTTGCACAAGTTGCGATTTATTTGAAATGCCGCTCGATTTTGGCAGGCGGCGGTGCTAATAATTTTAGGTGGATTTTCGAACGCGTACTTTCCAAACAAGCTTTGCGTCGGGATTGATAAACTTTGAAAAGCGCAGATTAATTTTGCAAAATGTATATATTCATGTATTGTAGAGAATTTTGAAGAATAATTGGTCAGACTTAGATTAATTTTGCCATTTTGCTAAATGGCAGAGATGCGTTGCGCGGGATAAGAACAATGCTTCGTGACATCCACACGACGTCTTTTTGTTCCAAGCATTTAAAGCCAAGCAATAAAAATATAATTTGCTTTCGATTGTCGTTATAACTTTCCAAATAGTGCAGCTAAGTCTAAATCGTTGTTATCTGGTAACCGTTACGCTAAATTAAGCGCAAGCCGGAAGAGGTAGAGTTACTCGTCAAAGTAAATGGAAGTAATTGGAGCATGGGATAATCGAAAAGCCAGGCTCAAGTCGATGGAGTATGCTACGCAAGTACGAAATAATTAACAAGCGCGTCGCTTCCCTAAGTACACAAGGTACACATAATGAGGAGATGTCGATTACTTCGATGAAAATGCCGCTTCAACGACGCGGCCGGTACCCCTAGCATTTTTTCAGCGAAATTCTCTCCCACATTACGTACAGTTATATTAAGACTTTCAGCCAGAGGCGCCCTATTGACGTTTAATCAGCTGCTGCAAAATTCGTAATCTCAAATAGTACCGTGCTGAACAAACGTTTAATGACTCGAAGTCAAACAACGGGATAGTTCGCCGCTCACTTCGGCTCTACGGAATTAAATATTAGCGCAAATATCGTTTTGAACGGTAAATATTAAACTAATAACGCTTAGCTTGCATTACAATGGTGCGATGAATAACGAAATTAACAGAGTACATTTATCTTCGCGAAACGGGAGCAGCGCGTATAGCGAGCAAGTTCTATGTCTACATTTGATATATCATTATCCCTCTCTCTCTTTCTCTCTCTCTCTCTCTCTCTCTCTCTCTCTCTCTCTCTCTCTCTCTCTCTCTCTTCAACTCTGGGAAAAAAAAAGAC